CCTCCGACCATATGGTTTCCATTGCATCATTGCTATCTAGTCGCACCCAACTACATTCATCCAAACCAATTCATCTTCCGAATGGGAACATCACAACTACATCCCATTACGGACCAAATCTGATCATTAATCATGTTTTACATGTCCCAAAATTCCATTGCAACTTACTCTCTGTTAGCAAACTTACAAAGGAGTTGCAATGTGTTGTTCTGTTCTTTCCTTCGTTCTGTGTTCTCCAGGACCTTGTCTCTCGGACCGTGATTGGGATGGGTAGACTCGTGGATGGACTGTATTACTTTACCACTACTGGGTCTGTAGATAGCTCTACCATGTTTATTGCAACTTCGAATAAAGGCCAAGAACTTTGGCACAAACGACTTGGACATGCCTCATCACAGTGCCTTTCTCTCATTCCAGAAATACCGACCCTTCCTCAAAACAGCTACTGCGATGCATGCCACAAGGCCAAGCAATCCAGGTTACCATTTCCTACTCAACAGTCTCGGGCAGATCAGCCCTTTGACTTAATACATTGTGATCTATGGGGAGGGTATAAGACTCCATTGCATACGAGCGCACACTACTTTCTTACCATTGTTGTGGATCATACAAGATGTACTTGGACTTATCTTTTGAAATTTAAATCTGAAGTTGTTCGTCGTCTTATATCCTTTTGTGCTATGGTTAAAAGGCAATATGGTCACTCTGTTCGACAAACTCAATTAGATAATGGTAAGGAATTCTTCTCTATTCCCCTTCTCAATTACTTTGTTGAACAAAGCATAACTAAACAACACTCTTGCATAGCAAGCCCTCAACAAAACAGTGTTGCAGAGTGCAAGCATTGTCACCTACTGGAAGTCGCCCGTGCGCTATGCTTCCAAGCTTCACTACCTGTCACTTTCTAGGGGGAATGCCTCCTCACGGCCACATACATCATTAATTGGTTACCAACACCATTCCTTTCAGGAAAATCTCTGTTAGAAGTTCTACTGAAGCAAACCCCATGTTACAACCATATGCAAGTGTTTGGTTGTCTTTGTTATGCACAAGTACAACCCAAACCTCAGGAAAAATTTTCTAGCAAGGCAACACGCTGTGTATTTGTTGGGTACCCCTTTGGTCAAAAAGGGTATCGTGTGTTTGATATGGCTACTGGGCATATCTTTACCTCCCGAGATGTCATATTTTATGAAAATCAATTTCCATTTCAGACTTCACACTCAACATCAACCACTCCTGTCATCCTATTGCTTGCGTCCAACCATGGTTCAACCATATCATTAGACCCATTGGTCCATGACGAGCATGGAACACTACCACTAATCACAAGTACACCTGCTAGCAGCCCGGAAACACACGTGGAACCACTCGAACATTTGTTTTTTGATGATATACCAACCAATGCAAGCTTACTTGAAACTGCCATTGAAGAAAATGACCAAGTTTCAACCCAACTTGGCCCACGACCGTGTAGAGCTCGACAAGTCCCCACCTGCTTGCGCTCATACGACTACCAACTCCCACCTTCTCTTGCCACTGCGGTCACCAGCCTAGGTGCTTGTTTAGCTACAATTTCCTCAGAGATAGAACCATCCTTTGCTGAGGCTATAAATGATCCCAAATGGTGACAGGCAATGGCAGTCGAAATCGAAGCACTTGAGCACAACAACACATGGACACTTGTAGACTTACCACCTGGAAAGAAGGCCATAGGTTCAAAATGGGTCTACAAGATCAAGTTGTGAGATGATGGTAGCATTGAGAGATACAAGGCCCGTTTGGTGGCAAAAGGTTATAATCAAGTCGAAGGCCTTGACTACCATGATACCTTTGCACCCGTAGCAAAGATTGTTACTATTCATTGCTTACTCGCAGTGACCGTTGCAAAGTGTTGGGAACTTCACCAGCTCGATGTAAACAATGCATTTCTACATGGTGGGCTTCAAGAAGATGTTTACATGCGCATCCCTCTTGGATTTGCCAAAGATGGCGATCAACGAGTGTGCAAAATCCAAAAATCCTTATATGGCCTCAAACAAGCCTCATGGATGTGGTTCCAAAAGTTCACTCATGCACTCTTGCATGCCGGTTTTACCTAACCAGTGACAGACTATTCACTTTTTACAAGCAAGCAAGACAACTCCTTTGTTGCAGTCCTTGTGTATGTAGATGACCTCATCATCATAGGAAATGACCCAAGCTGCATTGCCTCCCTTAAATCATACCTCAATGAGTGCTTTAGCATCAAGGATCTTGGACCCTTGCAATATTTTTTAGGCATTGAGGTAGCTCGTTCAAACTCAGACATCTTCTTAAGTCAACATAAACACATCGTTGACATTTTGAATGAAATCTGGATGCATGAATGCAAACCATGTTCAACTCCTATGGAACAACAACGACACTTCATTGATGATGCCAGTTCAGCCCTTTCAGATCCAGCTCAATATAGGCGTTTGGTGGGACTAGACCTGTTCATGGGTCGGGCCGGGCCGGGCTCGGGTTGGGCTTTTACTCTTCATGAATAGAAATTTGTTAGGCCCGAGCCCAAGCCCGGCCCGACCAACAGGCCTACAACTTGGGCCCAAGCCCGAAGCCCGACGGTGACTGTGTTCGTCGGAGCTGAGTTCGTGATGACTGTGAGCTATGATTTTAATAGTGAAAAGTGTGTCAGTTCGCGTCTGAGAGAGAGAGAGAGAAAGAGAACTCACCACCGCTGCCGGTGCCTATATTCGTCGCTCGTCGATGTCTGAGATTTGAAAGAGAAGTGAGAAGAAAAACGAGAGAGAGAAAGAAAGAGAGAGAAAGAGAGAGAGAAGGAGAGAGAGAAGGAGAGAGAGAGAGAGAGAGAAAGAGAGAGAGAGAAGGAGAGGACTCACCGCCGGAGTTGTTGTGCCGGTGAATGTTCGCCGCCTCGCCGGTTGTGTGGCTGCCTTAGAGTGTGATGATTGAGGAGGATGTGAAGACTGAAGAGAAGAGAGGTTCGACTAAGGGGAAAGAGGTGAAAGAGAAGAGAGGTTCAGCTTAGGGAGTTAGGGTTTTTAAGTTTAGTCTATAGGTCGGGCTGGGCTATTTTGGCCAATCCCGAGACCGGCTCAAATTTATTGCGGGCTGGGCTTTTTGGCCCGGGGTTAAGCCCGCGGGCTCATTTGCATGTTCAAGCCCGTCCAAGGGCCGGGCCGGCCCGTCGGCCCACCCGGCCCATGAACAGGTCTAAGTGAGGCGCCTCCTCTACCTTACGACCACAAGGCCTAATATCAGTTTTGCAGTCAATCAACTTAGTCAATTCATGAAAGATCCTCGAAAAGAGCACCACCAAGCGGCTTTATGGGTGGTTAGATATCTCAAGTCTACCTCTCTTCATGGCATCTTCATCCCATCCACTAATGACTGTGGTTCGGGGGTTCTGTGACTTCGACTAGGTTAGTTGTCCATTTACCCGACGCTCCACAACAGGATATATCACGATGCTTGGACAGTCCCCAATCTCTTGGAAGATGAAGAAGCAGCACATTGTGTCGCGATCCTCAGTAGAAGCCGAGTATCAAGCCATGGAAGTCACAACCTCAAAACTGATTTGGCTTAAACGGGTCTTTGCGGATTTAACAATTCACGTCGCAACACTCATGGAATTGCACTGTGACAGCCAAGCCGCTCTCCATATTGCTGCCAATCCGGTCTTCCATGAGCGTACCGAGCACATTGATATCAATTGCCATTTTGTTTGAGAGCAGATTGAGAGCAATGAGATCAAAACATTTCACATCAGTAGCAACAACCAGCCAGCAGACCTCCTCACCAAAGCTCTCGGGGTGGCATCATTTCAAAACCTCATTTTCAAGTTGGGCATTACGTCTTCTCATGCTCCAACTTGATGGGAGGGTGTTAGAATAAATATTTAGTTATGGGACAGCTGGCTAACCGCAACAACTGGCCAACCACCACGTGTCACCACTTGCATAAATTAGTTACAAGTTAGACTTACACAAATTGTATTTATATCACACCTGGTTACTCATTTCAATACAAGAAAGTCTGCAATAAGGTTCTACCCTTTTGCCATGAACCTACGTTCTCTGTTCTAAGTTTTTCATTTGCGATGAACCTACATTCTCGGTCGTCCTTGTTCTGAGTTTTTACAAAACACCTGTGTGTTGGGTCTCTAGTAAATACTAAATAGGATAAAAGTTTGGTAAGATAAACCCTTGGCTCTTGCCTTTCTATGAAATTTAATTTCAAGGACGTCAAAAGAGAAAGAAGAAATCAAGAAATTGAAACCCAAGTAACCAATGCACTTGCAAATTGCAATCTAATTCATTGAGGAAAAAAAATATCTCATGCAGGCCAGTAACACCGAATAGTTTTGTATCTACTTTGACAAAGTCTCTACAATCGAGGTTAGAGACTACTACCACCAGATTTGCACGCATTGCATGGTTCACACCACATGGTTGCCTACCCCAATCTGCCCATTTTGCCGCAGAAGCATTGCCAAAGTGGTTTCCAAGGGTAAGACGGAGAGAGAATCGGACAAGGAGATTTCAGTGAAGGCATCAACAACTTCTAGGGTTTGTCAGCTGCTGGTTCATTTTGAAAGATGGGTGGTTGTGGTTCAGGGAAGATTGTTGCTAGTAGCAATGTTTGGAACGCTATCAGCTCTAGCACTCAGTGTAGGGAGGATTGCTTCTCGAAGCAAAACAAAGAAGATGGAAGAAAGAAATGGGTAAGAGAGATGGGGTTGGGCGGGTTAATAAAATTAAGGGTAAATTTCTTAAACTACCCTTATGGTTTAGTTAATTGACCAAGTGTACCCCTACTGTTTGAAAGACTGGTGCTGCCTCTACTGTTTCTAATAATTGACTAATCCTTCTTAGTCGTTAGCATTTGTTAACAAATATTTGTAAAAGACTATTTTACCCTCCACAGGATCTCTACCTCTCATTTTCTTCGTTGTAACCATTGGAACCGCTGTAACTGCCAAAATAATGGAGTTATAGAAGAAAATCTTACTGCAAAAGTCATTGGAACTGCCGAAACAGTGGGGTTTCACCGAAGTTGTAGAAGAAAACCTGAAATGGGGGGACCTTGAGGCAGCACACAAGATCCCCAAGGCCTTGACTACAAAAGTCATAAGGGTCAAATTCACTGTTTGCTAGACTGGCTAGAAAGCTTCGATGGATGATGGTGAAGGATGAAGTGGAAGGAATAGGGGCGGCCTCAAAGACGGGGGTCACCTGGTCAGAACACAGGGGGTGTGCAGTCAAGAATACTAAGGGCTGCAGGGAAGATTTCAACGTTCAAGGTGAGCACAGTTACTGATGCTAAGAGATGCATCGCTACTTTTCCTAGAAGAGGGAAAATGAGCCCATGGAAGCTTTGACAAGGTTGGAAGGGGAAGAAGATGTTCCGAATGATAAACCCAGTAATAGTTGTTGTTGTCGTTGGGACATTCGCTAGAACTTTCATGGCTACTGCCACCAGATCCGCTGCCGTAGCCTTTAACTCTGTAGGAATTCTGGCCAAATCCCAGCTTACCTCCGGCAACAGTCCATCTTTGCAGCTCCAATCTTGCATTGGCCTCCAGTATAGATCGAGGAGTTTCCGAAATCCCAGCTTACCTCTGGTAGCAGTTCATCAATGCCACCACGCCATGGTTGCAGGGTCTGATGCAGGTTTTGTTGCAGAGATCCTCCTTCTCTTTGTCTCCCTCTTTCCGTCGCTAACTGCCTTCTTTAAACCAAGCTTCGCTTGGCCAAATCAGATCTGGGTTCCTTATTTGCTGTCGAAAGGAAGAAAACGGTAATTCCTTTCGATAGTGAGATAATTCCATATGATTGTATTTATAGTATGGTATTGATTCAGTTACCTGCTTTTCATAAAAAAGCAGGTAATGGGATGATCAGAGAGGACGAAGTCGCCGGAGGGGAACCGAGCCAAAGGTTTCCGACCCAAGTCCATTACAACCTCAATCAAGCGGTGGAGTTCTGGGTGTTCGCTTACCCTCCGTCGCATCTCCTCTGGCAATAGAGCCAATAGGTGTCCCAATTCGACGTCGGATTCATCTTCCGCCGTGGAAGAAGAAGAAGAAGCAGCCAAGAACCGTACCTTAAGGAACAGTAAGATAGCACTAGTAAATTTAAAAAACAATATATGTCACCTATATACAAATTTAACGGAATATTAACAGGAGCAAACAGTAGAGTTAGTCAGTTGTCAGAAACAGTAGAAACAGTAAAATAGCACTAGTAAATTTTTAAACAGTAGTTTAACTAAATCATAAAGATAGTTTAAGAAATTTATCCTAAAATTAAAATGATTTTTGGAATCGAGACGGTCGTTAAATATGAAACTCCGTTTAAGTTTTAGGTATAAAAGGTGGCGTGGCGATTCCCCTCGGAACAGACGATGTGAGTTCTATCAAAATAGCCCACTAGACATCGTTACAGGAAGACCCTTCTCCTCGCCCTTACCCCTCCGCCGTTTCTGACCACACCCTCTCCCCGTTCGGCCTTTGACTACTTTCTCCAAAGCTCGGCCAGAACACCTGCCATTGCCACTTTCTTGTACGAAAATTTCCTTCTGAAACCAGCACCCCTTCTCCCTGCGTTTAACCACATCTCCGCTCTCCACCTTCTTCCCCAACCTTTCCCAATCTGAATCCTTTCCATCTATAAGCAACTCTCCAATCCCCAACGCTCACCAGTCTTCAGCAAGGAAAACATCGATTTCCACCGGCAGTCACCTTCTGCAACCAATTTCTTCGCTACTCTTCTTCATCGTCGCCAGCCGTCGACACCTCTCACCGTCGACTCCACCCACTGACACCTCTCGTCTTCATCACTGACATCTCTTTCGCCTTCAACACCGATACCTCGCACCTCCGGAAAAAGAACGAGAAGGGCAGAGCGATGCCGGATAAGACGGACCTGTCACCAGATCTAGTAGAAAAGGAGAGCCTCGCTACCAGTTAGATATCCGATGAGAGAAGAGAGAACGCCGCCGCTGTTCAACGAAGAAGACGATGAACAGTGACCTTCGTGAGATTAGAAGAAACGGAGAGCTTTGTATTCCGATGAGAGAAGAGAGAACGCCGCCGATGTTCAACGAAGAAGGCGATGAACAGTTACCTTCGTGAGATTCGAAGAACAGTGAGCGATGCCGGATAAGACGGACCTGCTTGGTGCTAACTTCAGGTCAGGTGCATTGTTATGTACTACTTATGTTGGATTTTATAAGATTGGGTTTAGTCGTGTTGGATTTGGTATGAATTTGATGGTTTCTTATATTATTTTGCTTTCCGAGTCTGTTTTGTTAAAATTTAATTCGTATTTTTTATTCCAGGTTGATAATGGTATACCTACTAGAAATGCAATTCTAGGTTTGTTTTGTAGTCTTACTTAGCATCACTTCTTGCTTCTTTTGCTGATAGATTTAGTAGTCTAACTCGGATAAAACTGAATGGATTCTCAGCTATATTTTAATTGCAGCTACATGGGGCGGGAAAATGTGATTTCTTACTGATGAAAGTGAGATTGTTTACAAGGAATACCAAAGGTAGACATTGCATACTGCACGAACTTGCCTTGGTACTGGAGAGCCAAAAGTGGATTGTAATGTGTCTAAACTGTTTAGTTAGCTAAATAGGCTCCTTGACATGGTAGAAACCGCATGGTTTGGTGCAACTAGGCTGGGAAAGCTAGGCTACAGGGACATAAGACTGTAAGTTCCATTAGGTTGGCGGTCCCTTGATAGAAAGTTGATCCAGAGATTCTTCTTTTATTTACACATAATATACTGATATAGAACCTGAATTCCCCTGTAAACAAGGTGGTCCACTATTAGCACTTTGTTGGGAACCACTGGCCCAATAAACATGTCAACATGAATGGGAGCATAACGAACCCATGATTCCAATCTTCGATCATAGCTCTTTCTCTAGCCAAAGGCAACATAAAAGGATTGAACAGATACCTTCCATTAGGGATCTTCTTGCCATCAAAATTTATCTCTTTGCTGCAGAAGAATAAACACATCTCCAAACTTTTGCAAAAGAAAGGGTCATTCATTCATTTCCCCACTTAATGAAGGTATTTAGAAAATTGGGTTGCACATAATGTCCTAATCATATCTAAATTGTAGAGAAAATTGAATTGAATCAAGTCATGAATCATAAGATTATTTCTATTTTTTGCAAATTTGTCAAAAAATTAAATACAACTATGCTTAAAGGCTAAATATATATAGAAAATAATTCTACCCTATTTTTAGTCCATGTCTACCATATATGTACCTAAAATAAAATTTACCACTTGTTCAATAGAAGCTTAAGATGATATAATCAAGTTTGACTTAAAAAAGTCAAATAAGTAAAAGAAAAATTATATTAAAGGGAAAACAAAAAAGGATTACAACAGAAACAGGTGTTAAGTTAACACCCCAGAAGCCCCCCACCTCCTCCCCCCCCCACCCCCCACACACACACACAAGAGCGTCTGCAACTCTCCTCGCATTTTCTTCCCTCCTCTTCCTTTCAAAGGCTTCCAAAGCTTTCCTAACAATACTTTCCCCTCCCAAAAAGAATAAGCCTAGAGACTTTCCGATTTCCACTTCTCTATCAACCATAGTTTTCAAGGCGCCAAGGCGAGGCTAGGCGACAGGGGGGTGCCTAGTCGCCTAGGCAATGGATTTTTTATGTAGAATATATAGATCTTAGGGTAGTAGTAAATTTTAAGTTCTTCCTTATTGGTTCAGGTTTTAAAGTCTTTGGGGTTTCAATACAACATTTAGAAATGTTTATATTGATTAAACCCTAACAAATAAGAAAATAATAAAAAGAAATTAGTATATAAACACACAAAATGAATATTTTAGTTTAATACAGCATTTAGCAATGTTTGTATTGATTAAACCCTAACAAATAAGAAAATAATAAAAAGAAATTAGTATATAAACACACAAAATGAATATTTTAGTTTAATAGTGTCTATTTTATAATTATAATGTCAAAAATAAATAATAAAAAAGTATTTTATAATACATAGTACAAAATTGTTTGGCGATTAGGCGAGGCGAGCCTCAAAGGGCGCCTTGTCACCTAAGCGTTGCCTTGACAGCTATGCTATCAACTAAGCTCTTCAAATCCACGCCAATGTTTTAAAACGCGGAGGCCGTGATAGGCGAGGCGAGCCTCAAAGGGCGCCTTGTCGCCTAAGCGTTGCCTTGACAACTATGCTATCAACTAAGCTCTTCAAATCCACGCCAATGTTTTAAAACGCGGAGGCGTGATGCGAGGTATTCCACTACCTAGAGGCATGAGGCGTAGCCTCCCGAACACAACAAATTGGGCCGCATCGAAAAGGGGGCGAAGCCCCCCAGCCGAAGGGGCAGGGGCAAACCACTTTCTTCCCCCTTATCTTTTCTTCCCTTCCCTTTCCTTTCCTTTTCTTTCCTTTTCTCTTTTTTTTTTTTTTTTTCTTCTCTTTCTTTTTCTTTCCCTTCCCTTTTTTCCTTTCCTTTCTTTTTTTTTTCTTTTTTTTTTTGTCTTTTTATATCAGATGTGCATGAGGCGCATGAGGCATACGCCTCTAGCACGCCTCATGAAAAAAGCGCAAGAGGTGTACGCCTTTTGCACCTGAGGCGTATGCCTCAGAGGCGTCAGCGCCTCCCACGGCTTTTAAAACACTGATCCACGTTTCCTCTTTTTTTCTTCTCCTCCATCTCCACATTTGAAAGACTCAATGTTCTTATTTTCAATTGAGCACTCCAAACTCTCTTCCAAACCAAACTTTCTCAGATCCTTATCTTGGGAGATTGCTGAAAGAACCATGTTCCCGTCATCAACCTGCAAAGGTTGATTCTCCACTTGGCTGATCTCCGGATCTGAACTAAAAGTGTCCTGATTGTCTGCTTCATTTGAAGCCTTCAAGATTGACAATTTTGGCTTACCTCCTTTTCTAATGTAAACCCTTTTATAGTGTTTTGTTGGTCCCCCCTATCAAGCCTCTTTTAGACGAGAGAATGTTAGTAACATGAATAATGTGCGAATTACTTGTTGCTAATGTTGTTCATTAGCAATGTTGTTCATTGCTATTTGCTTATGTTGTTCATTCATTCATTGCATTAGCATATTCAAATGAGAATTTAAAATACATAAACATAAGATGTAAAGCATATTCAAATAAGAATTTAAAAATAAAATCAAACATATAAAACATTTTCAAGCATGTAAAACCTGTAATCTCTTTTTTCACTCAATTGCATTATTTCAAGTAGCTAAAACATATTACATTTCTAATTCTACGAGCCGCCTTTGTGCCACACCCCTCGAGGCAAGCCCAAACAAGTCCATATCAGGTGTTAAATTCTTAGTTCTCACACAAAAAATAATGAATTTATAACTTTCATTGCCTTTTAAGAAGATATTTTATTGCAATGAATGAATGAACAAGTAATTTGCACATTATTCATGTTACTAACATTTGTTTGATTTTAAGTTTATATTCATTGCCCTTTAAATAATAGGTTTTTTAAAACATTTGTTTTAAAATTTAAGTTTATATTTTTTTATCAATATTATGTTTAATATTTTTGAATTTTTTGGCATTTTTTTGAATTTTCTGACAATTTTGTTTGATTTTTTAGCATTTGTTTTTATTTTTACGCCTTGCTTCAAAAAGGCGCGCGCTTTGCCTTGCGCCTCAGGCGCAAATTGACCTCTGCGCCTTTTTTGCGCCTTGCACTTTTAAAACACTGCTACCAACCCTTTCCCCTGATCAAACTCCACCACTTCTTGTCCCTCGCCAGAACCAAACACTCTAGGCATCGGTGAAGCTTGACTGGCACCACAAGTCTGAGAAATGTTTTCCTTCTGAACAGCTGGATTGCCAACCTCCTCAATTGACTCATTACTTTTTCCGTCATTGGCATTTGGAAGATGACCAACCTGAGATCCACTGCAATCACTGCTACCTTCTTCCTCTTCTTCGACACTTGTGGCTGTTTATCCTACATATGATGGCAAATATACTCAATATATTGTAATAATGCAAATAAATCAATTTCTAGTAAGGTCTTCAAAAAACAAGTCACCTTTTACAAAATTAAATATAAATAAAAGATGTCAAAGTAGAGAACTAATTCTTAATTGACTTGATTAAAATCACAACAGATTGTATAAATCATAAGATTTATGAATCAAATCGTAGGAAATTCAAACAAATCTTACAAGTTCTGTTGAAAAGGATCCGAACATAAGATTCAAATTAAAACCCTAAGGATTCATGATTCAAATCGTGAATTGTATCGTAAATTGTAAGGTTTTGACAACATATGCACACCACTGCCCTGCCTTGGGTAGAGAGAAAATTATTAATTTCCCTGAAAAATCCTTGGAAAGATACTCAAAGAAATACCAATACCACTCTAGCTATCCTCCTAGAAGCATATCCTAGAGCCATAAACCACTTCAAATTCAGTTAAAACTTAACAGAACATAATCGGCAAGCACTTACCATAAAATTGATCCGATAAGAGGATGGCAAGCTTAGACTCCTCATTGAATTTAGATCTTTTCCAAGTCTACTCTCTCTCTCTCTCTTATATTTTGTCCTCTTGAGATTTTGAATAACCTAACTCCAAAACAAAATGGTTTTTGACCATGACCCATACAAAGACATATATACTTTAATAACTAACTTTCAAAATTTGCAAACCAAATCAGCAGGTTGGTGTATCTCCTCTATTAATCCTAACACTCTACCATTTAAAGTACAAATAGATATGCTACCTTAGAACACCTTTTACCCTTTTCATTTGTATTCCAAGTCTAGGGACCAGGGACCATTGCTTGGTATAATGGTAAAATATCTGGCTGACAAACATAAGAATGAAGGTTCAAGTTTGAGAATGACCACTTTGTGTCCCATTCCATCCCATGCTCCCCCCCCAAAAAAAAAAAAAAAAATCTTTGGAATAGTGGCCTGTTTTGTTTAAACGTTACCTTTATCATATTGTTATATGTGGGATGACAATCTTTGATGTGTAGAAATATTTATATTTTAAAATTGATCCATCTGGTTGATTGCTTCATTTAAGTGTCTCAGGTTGATGCATTCTGAGTTTTTAGATGGTAAGGGTTGTTGGTGATACATGATTGTTTTCAGATGGATGGGAGACTACCTTCTTTTTGTTCCTTTGAGAGTGAGAAATTGCCAAAGGGAGGTGAGCTGTCTGGTATCCAGAGTGAACACCTTGCTTATTAGATAAATATCCAGCTTAGATAACTACTCATCAGAGTGCAGCTTTGCTAATGGTGGGGGTAGGGAGACAAATTGTTTTGGAGAGCCTCTCTTCCAGGGAAGAGCTGTAAAGGGCAATCTCTACCCAACATTTCTTGTTATTTTCTTATCTTTGTTGTTCTAGGGTTATCATTCTTTTGAACCTTGACTAGGCTTCTTATCACATTCATGTATGTCAAGACAGAGGCACTCCAACTGTTGTATCCTCTTTTTGATAATGAAGAAAAACTTATTAAACAAAATGCCAGAAATGAGTTGGGCTTTGGCATCTTTCCCGAGTTTAACATGGTTAGTTTTCTTGATTGGTAATCTGGTGTGGGTACTTGTATTTATGTTTTTAAGGAAAGAAAGTTTCTGCTCCACCTTGAGTAATTTTTGGGATTAAAAATAAAGAAAAATAAGAAAATTAAGGACATCATGTTTGATGAATACCTGTGTGAGATCCAATTGGAAGCTGTCCTTTATTGTCTTGTTGTGTTTGACATTGATCAAAGAGCTTTGTATCAGGAATTAACATATCTTCAATAAGAAAATGTCAGGCAAACATAATAGAGGAAATAAATGGATGATGATCAAAGCTACAACAAATACTCTAGGGTTGATGAACAAAATACGAGTATTGTAGGATTTAGATGGGCCCAATAACAAATTTATTGCTTTTGTAAAAGAATGACAATATATCTTAAAAGAAGACTCTGTTGCCTATACTTCTGACCAGAGCCTGTGTACGCTAAACAAGAAAACGAAACATCTACCCCCCAAGTTTAAGTGCTCACATGACCATTGCATGACTTTCAAATGAAGAAAGATTGATAGTAAGTTCGAGGTATCTCTATATTTTGGTTAGACTAACGCCTTATTCTCAAGAAGTGGATACAGGTTATGCTCGGTGCTGAATCCATATTTTGATATGCATCTGATGTTTGCAGGAGGAAGACTTGCATTTGCAAAATGCTTACTATTTGGAGATGAAAGATGCTGGTTCATTTGAGTGGTGACTATAAAAAAACCAATCCTAGAGGAAGGAGGCACAGAGTAGCGGAAACTGAAGCACACCACCATTTGAATCCAAGATGGAGCATGATCTACCTGAGTACCCGGGATGCCACCCAGCCTTACTAGATCGGCTCCAAGCAGAAGCAGATGATGTTATCACCATGGTTGGAGCAAGTTGGGGAAATGTCATACGTCTATCCAAAGTTATTCTCGATTGGTCCTTGTTAAAAGCTGCATTCCAATGCTGGGACCACGAAAGAGGAGTGTTCCGCTTTGGAGAAAACCACATGTGCCCTACTCTTGAAGAGATTGCCTATATGATGGACATGCAGTTGGAGGATGACATACCATTCCCAGTAGCTAAACAGGGGTTTCGTGCCGAGATAAGCATCTTCCTGAAGTGTAGAAAGAATCAGCTTGAGATGATCAATGATAATGCTGTTTCCATTGAGTTCCTATTAAAACGAAGCATTACCAATCGAACGCCCCAAGATCCTGCCAAAGACGCTGAAGGGAAGAAGCATGCACTCCTTTTGGCTATTGTAGGACATCTTCTATTTCCCCAGGATCGAGAATCAGTCCACCCTCGATTGATAACTGTCCTAAGACAGTTGGAGGAAGTTGAGCGGGAATCAAGAAAGCCTGGCATCACCCTTGTACCCATGGTGTTGGCTGAGATACTGCGCAGCCTAACTGCAGTAAAAGCTTCTAGGATTTGGCCATTTCAAGGATCTCTGCAGCTACTCCAGCTTTGGTTGATTCAGCATCTGCCCTTCCTAGTGATCAGTAATGGTAAACCACTTGCTCCCAAGCCAATGTTGCAAGATGTTGACATCCTCCTCACTCAACCACAGTCCGCTTATCTCACACTTGAAGAATACAGTGGAAGGCTCCAGATGACCCGAGAAGAGGAGATTCAGTGGAAGATAGGAATGTCTATCCAGAAAGGTTGCACACAACCCCGCTTGGCAGCTGAGGGTAGGCATAGCATGGTTTTGGCTGGATTATATGGCTCGACCCCCTATGTCCCACTACTTGTTCTAAGGCAGTTTGGCTACAAGCAAATAGTCCCCACCTGCGACAACACCACTGGTGAAATCATTGAGTTTGAGAAATACTGTGCTGCCATGGAACGCCGCTTCAAGGAACATTGGGCATCGAGCAAGAGAGAGTTAGCTGTCACCCCCGTCATTCCACTATTCACTTGTGCACCAATGTACCGTGAATGGATACGGAATCCGAACATCTCCTCCCCTTGGGCACCACCAGCAGAGATCCCCACACCAGTCAGGCCTCCATCTCACGGTACTATATCAAAGGCATCACTTAAGCGTCCACTAGAAGATCTATTCCTGCAAGCTGCTATCAGTCTTCACCTGCAAAACAAGAAGAATGAAGGGCAGGAAGCAGCCAAGGCCAAGGCACAAGAAGACTACCTGCAAGAAGAGATATTGCGAGCACAAACCAGCCTAGCGGAAGCAAAGGCAACCCTGAAGCAAGTTGAAGAAAAGCTGGGTCAAGCCCTCCAAGAGAAGCATGAAGCCGAGTTACGTGCCCAACAATTTCAGAATGAGGTTGTTGAAATCCGCAAGCGCATGCAAGTCAACGCCACCAGGGATGTGATTGCAACAGCTTGGATGAGCAGTCGAATTGCAAAACTGGAAGACAAGCTTCGATGGCATGGCATCGATATCCCACCCCCTCTTCCCCGCCCGTTCAAACAATGATCATTTTAGTCTCCTGTCACATGTTTCGTATTTTTTTTTTCATGTTTTATATGGTATATTTTGTTAGACTTCAACAATATTAAAGATTCAGCTCTAATGTGTCATTTTATCATTAATTCAAATCTTTTGTTTGTGCAATTCATGCATCAAAGATTTGCCATACAATGCGTGTTCACACTTAAGTACAATTCAAGGTGCAGAATAAAAGGATATTGTAATTGTAATTCTTTTCGCGATTCATATTATAGTCAGGTCCGGTGATGAGGGAAATTTATTCAAAACACCATCTAAAGCAAAAGGCCAAGAGTCTGAACGTTAGTGCAACAATTCTATGTCCAAATCCAATGTTAACAAGCTCCAACCAACTGCTTTCAAGATCCCTTTGGTCGCATATCAACAGGGACATGAATCGCAAAGCGCATTTCTTCGCTGGCCAGGACCGCAAAAAAATTATAGTGGTGATTGATGAATGGATTTATTTATTTATTTTTTAACTTTTCATCTTTTTGTTTTTTTTTTAACCAGCTACCGATCCTACCTGATTGGTTACCACTTTTGTAATACTGGTTGATTGGTTACAGGTTTTTTTCAGTATCATATTCAAAACATATCAGATTTAGATCCATCATAATGGTAGAACTAGCAGAGGGGGCCTTGTATTGCAGGGGCTCACTCATAAACTATTAGGCTTGAGCTCAATTTGAATTAGAGACTTGAGCTCAAGTCAAAAGTTCGGAAGTTTGAACTTGGCTACCTTTGATTGCAGGTCTCTCAAGCAGTCGAGGTTCTGAGCCGAGGTCTCCCTCAATTGCTGAGGTGCCAAACCGAGGTCTCCCTTTGCTATTGAAGTGTCGAGCTAAGGTTTCCCTAGCAGGTGAGGTGTCAAGCTAAGGTCTCCCTTAATTGACAATTGCCAAGCTGAGGTCTCCCTTAGTTGTCGAGGTGTTGAGCTGAGATCTCCCTTAGTGACTGAGGTGCCGAGCCAAGGTCTTCCTCAGTGGTCGAGGTGTCGTCTAGCTCAAGCTCGATTCGAATTAGAGACTTGAACTTGAACTTAGAAGTTCGAGCTTGATTTGACTCGAATTCAACTACCTTTGATTGTAGGTCCCCTAGCAACCGAGATGCCGAGCTGAGGTCTCTCTTGGAGAGAGAGTGACATTCTTGTAATTTATAAGGGGAGAGAGAGATGGCAAGAGAGAGAGAGAGAAAGATGGCATTCTTGTAATTTATAAGAAAGAGAGAGTGGCATTCTTGTAATTTGAAAGAAAAGAGAGAGAGAGAGAGAGAGAGAGAGAGAGTCCCATTCTTCATCCAAGTTCGAGTTCAAGCAATTTGGGATCCCATTCTCCGTCCAAGTTCGAGTTTGAAATTACTGTTTGATTGTTTGTCTTCTTGCAAACTTTAGAGTTAGTAGGAAAGGGTTTCTTCTTCTAACCTTGATTTGGGGTCCAATTCCCTTTATTTTTTTTTCTTGTTTCTTGTTTCTCCAACTCTTTTTAACTTGTCTGGGGAGATTTTACATATTTTATTTTTTGTTTATTGTTTCTTTGTATTTGTATTTCATTGTTTAAGTAATTGATGTGATTCATTTGTCAAATTGATTGTGTTTTCTTTTGTTTAAAGAATGAAAGAAATCCATTCCTCTCAAAATGTAAGTAAATGATGATTTAGTTGAATATTTGCAAACTGTAAGTAAAATAAATAAGACTTAGAAGTCAATAGAAAGTTGGAAATGAATGGTTGCTAGCAGTCCGGGATCAGTTAAAGCAATTAACTTTGTTTTCTTTTGATTTGTAGCACATTGTTTCATGTATTCTTCGTTCATTTGGTTGATGGATAACTAGTTCCTTCTGTAGTCACTAATTTTTAGTGTTATAGAAAGTTAAATTCCCACTTATATGATGAAATACCAAAGTTGTTGGGAACGGTCATGGGCATGGTATGTTAACCCATTCAACCCCTTGCTAACATTCACAGTGGCCAACAACACCCAATTTAGAAGAGTACAATTAACCAAGAACATTGTGAGTTCTGATTTATTTCCTCTTTAAATACACCTAAAACCCTTTTCTTCAAAGAAGCTACAATTTCTTTTAACCAAAAAATCAGAATATAATAATAGCTCATAAAATGAGTTAATATACATAGGACTCTAGAATGTGAATTATATAAATGACAACCATATGATGATTCGAATGCTGAAGAAGTCTCAATAAAGGCACTAGAGGTAGAGATTTATGGTCATGTATAAACATGGCTTGTGTGTTTTAACATCGTGGAGTGACACTTGCCCAATAGATGCAATGTGCAATTTGGGTTTTCAAGTCTATAAATATGAGAATCATACAAAACCAAGAGGTTCATTGAGTTCTAAATGGTTTTGATGCTGTAACTACTTACAAGGGGATAGGTGTTCAAAACTGTAATTTATGTATCAAAATTGCAAACAATTATTCGGTATGTTTAGCGCCAGATGGTTTCTAAGTCTATAAACATATAAGAATCATATAGAACAAAGATGTTAAGTGGGTTCTAAATGATTTTGATGGTGTAACTATGATGCGAAGGGAAATGCTTGCAACTATAATTTATGTTTCAAAAAGCATTAAAAAAATTATGTTTCAAAATTGCAAACAATAATTTGATTTGTGTAATGTCAGATGGTATCCAACTCTATAAAAAACTATCTGGCTTGTGTAATGCTGAATGGTTTCCAACTCTGTAATAAACCATCCGGTCTTCTCCATGCCAGATGGTTTATACACTTGTAGAATCATATACTACCTTATGGAATGTTGGGCTTTAGATGATTTTGATGGTGTAAATACTATTTTATCACCTGAGTGGCTAACATTTACAACTGCAATTGAAGATTCAAAATTGCAATAAACCATTCGGTTTATGTAATGCCAGATGGTTTCCAACTCTGTAATAAATCATCCAGTCTTCTCCATGTCGGATGGTTTATACACTTGTAAGAATCATATACTACCTTATGGAGTGTTGGGCTTTAGATGATTTTGAGGGTGTAAATACTATTTTATCACCTTAGGGGCTGAAATTTACAACTGCAATTGAAGATTCAAAACTCCAATAAACCATCTAGTCTATGTAATACCGAATGGTTTCCAACTTTGTAAAATACTACCCGGTCTATGTAATGCCAGATGGTTTCCAACTCTGTAAAGCACTATCCGGTCTGTGTGATGCCTAATGGTTTCCAACTCTGTAATAAACCATCCGATCTGTGTAATGCCAAATGGTTTCCAACTTTGTAATAAACCATTTGGTCTTCCCCATGTTGGATGGTGTCTAAATCTATTAAACACCACTCGAGTTGCTCTATACCAGATAGTCTAGGCACAAAATCTATTATTGTTGTTGATCATACAAGTAGATATGTAGTTTGGGTATTAATCACAAAGATAAGCATTATGAACTTTATTCAACTATCCTGCTATTTTAGCCAATTTGGCATTATCATTCACCACCTTCCTCTAGTACACTTGTTTTGAAGATGGAGTCGATGCTTCCCAACCAGCCGTAGTTTGAATTAATGGAGTTGATACTTCCCAACCAAATGGAGTCGAAACTTCCCAATCTGAAGCCATTTGAATGGGTGGAGTCGATACTTCCCAGCCAACTGTAGTTTGAATCGATCAAGTTGATGTTTTCCAACTAGATGGAGTCAATGCTTCCCAATTTGAAGTCGTTTGAATGGCTGGAGTCTATGCCTCTAGCCAGCTGCAATTTGAATGGATGGAGTTGAATTCAAACTTGGATAAGACGAATGAAATATGAATGCTTTTTGGATTCGGTGAATTTTGTTTTTAACAAAAGAGTAATTTTGTCCTAAAAACTTCATGTTTTCTTCCGCTCACTCAATTTGCTATTATTTCTAAAACATAACTACCAAACTTGGTCTTTTTTTTTTTTGCAAAAAGTCCAAACAAAAATATGCAAATGCAACTATTAAAGTCAAATAATCAACTATATTTTAGTTAATTTTCAGTTTTATAAATCACCAAAAAAATAAAATATAATCAACCATGAATTAAATACATTAATCATATTCATCATTAAAACTTCAAATCCAACAATTGAATTTTAAATCATTCTTACATTAGGTTTATTTTTTGTGCAACTACTAAAACTTGAGTCACAAGGTCAACTTGATCTTAATCCAAGATACAAATCATATGCAAATATGGAATTCATACTATTTTATTTTATTTAAACATTGGGAAAAATTAAGAAACCATAAATAAAATTTTAATGAATCCATACGTATGACAGATCATCCATATATCCACATTATCATTCTTTATGATTGGATGATGCAAAACATGTAAAATTTGTGAATTTTTATTTTCTCAAAATTAAGTAAGAAGCATATTAGCTGTAGACCTATACATTACATGAATAAAAACACGTAAGTTTACCAAAAGATATGAATTTGAACAAGAAAATACATCACAAGAAACACGCAAGTTTTTCTCAAGTTGCATATAAACCCACTTTGAGGAAAAAGTATCAGAGTTTGATTGTTTTTGCCAAGGTTTTTCCTTTATCATACCTTCTAGCATCATAGATATGGCCCAATATGTTTTATAGAATTTTTTATATGACATCATGGGTTGACCTGTTCACAATGGTTGAACCACTGACTTGTCACCTAAAGGGAAAACGGGTCAGTCTCCAAGTCAGTTTTTAATAATAGAAATATATTTAGAGGGTTACAACTGAAAATAACCCATTAGAAGGGCTAAAGGCAGACCAAAAGGGACATGGATCCAAGTAGTAAGAAATTATTTAAGCATTCATAATTTAACAACCAAACCCTCATAGTTACAAAGCTTAGAACATGAAGACGATAAAGATGGTATTTTTAGATGGTGTTTGCCAATATGTATGGTTTTATACACAAGTAGCCAGATAAAATTAAAGGAAGATGTATACTGCATTACTAACTCTCTTGGAGGCCCAGAAAATATATTTTCTTGATCAGGAAGCTGTACTTGATGAGTCATGCCACTAAAAAAGAAGTCAATCTCAACTCTGTATGATAATCATACAAATGGATTTCTCCGGCCAAAGTAAAAGTGAGGATCATCTCAAGGTTAAATGTGTAATTTCAATCTTCAAAGTTCAAACTGTGCCAAAATCTCCCAAGATAATGTTTTGATTAGAAATCCATGACAGCATCCCGTTGTTGCTTTAGCAATCTCAGTATGACTGTGGTTTTGGATTATATTTTGCAAAGACCATCCATTTACTCTGCTACTTTGGCTTCTGAACCACATGATTCCTGCAGACTTGCTGAAGGTTTTCTCCCATGGACATCTTATTTTTAAACCGTTCAACTATATTCTCCAATTGAGTGTTCTTGCTCAAATCCAAGATAGCAGTCTGAAACCAGAATGAGCTTCATCCCCTGAAGAAGCAGAATATTCCATTCAGGAAATTAAAAAGGGGAAATGACTAGGAATGAGAAGATGTTTTGACTGTATTTACAAAACTGAAAAAATAACTGTGACTCTGTAATAATAAACGGCATTATAGGAAACAAAATTCCAAAACGTGGTCAAATTTATGGCTTTGAACAGAAAAGATTATATGGTTGTCTTAACACCTAAATCATGGTTTCATGTCAATCATAATATTCAATGCTCTTGGACATCTTTTGAGAATAGCAAAATTTGGCTTTGGAACTGAACCTGAAACGCCCAAATGGGGGAGTTAAATATTACTGTGAAGTTTCAAATTCAATGGTGACCATTGATTTTCAAAGAAAATATAATTAAACAACTAGTAATCTAGCCATTAGTTTAAGTAGCTGACCACATATTATTGGGATAAAACATAATTGAGCTGTTCAATTGAGTAAAAAGTTGTCCCTGCTCCCATTTGAGGTGATTATAAATATATGATGTGTCTTCAATTTCTTGTTTCTTCTATTATTATTTTTTTCTTGTTGCTAATTAAGTTACTGTATGTATCAAGTCTCTGACACCCACTATGATGTTAGCCTCTGATTAAACTCTCTGGTCAATTGGAGTGACTAGTATATCTTGGATTGTTATGTATTATCAGTAATACAAATATAAAAGATATATTTGATATTGTATTTTACCCTTGTATATATATTATGTTAGCTAAACACTTCCAAGTTATATTCTCACTGAAGAATCCTGATTCAATTCCAATTTAAACTCCTTGTGTATGACTTAACGTTGAGGAACCCAAGACTTGTAGTTTTTCAGTGCAAGAGGGGGTAAGAGAGAAAATCTTAAGAACTCAATTAAATTAAGGCTACTGAAGTAGGTTTTCCTTCAATTGTTATTCCAAAATAAGAACAAGGAGATTCAGAAAAGGCCAATCATAAAGATGGTATGATGTATTTGATTACTAGAATAAATCTTCTGAATTAATTTTTTTGTCATGTTAAGGATGAAAAAACAATGGGTTTTGTTGAGCAAGAGAAGAGAAGAGAAGAGGAAGAGAAAGAGAAGAGAGGCGAGAGGACTGAGAGCCCAAAGAATACTGCAGGCGAGTGCAGTATGTTATTATTTATACTAGGCTGGTCGTACAACATAAAATATGAGGAAATTACAAAAGTACCCTTGCGGTACTAAATACGTATACAACAACATCTGTCAACACTCCCCCTCAAGTTGGAGCATAGATATCAATCATGCCCAACTTGTCACAGAGATCATGATGTCTGGAATGGTGAAGCCCTTTTGTAAAGATGTCTGCAAGTTGGTTCTCAGAGCTGACATAGGGAGTACATACTTCACCTGTGATGACCTTCTCTCTGATAAAATGCTTGTCAACTTCGATGTGTTTTGTTCTATCATGTAGCACTGGGTTAGCAGCAATGTTTATAACTGCTTTGTTGTCACAGAATAGAGTCATAGGCTTGTCCACTAGGAAACCCAACTTACTCAACAAGTTCTTTATCCACATACCTTCAGCTACTCCGTGAGCCATTGCACGATATTCAGCTTCAGCACTGGATCTAGCCACTACATTTTGCTTTTTACTCCTCCATGTAACAGGGTTCCCTCCTATAAAGGTGCAGTAGCCACTAGTAGACTTTCTGTCACTTTGAGATCTAGCCCAATCTGCATCTGTATAGACTTCAACTTTCAAATGCCCGTGCCTTTGAAATAACAAGCCAGCACCAAGAAACTTTTTTTAGATATCGGAGGATTCTTTCTGCTGCTTTAAGATGAGTGGACCTAGGTGCATGCATGAACTGACTGAGGACACCAACAACATAAGCAATGTCTGGACGAGTCATAGAAAGATATAACAATCTCCCTACAAGCCTCTGGAACTGTTTCACATCTTTGAGAGGTTCACCTTGGCTGTCACCTAATTTATGGTTGGGGT